TCTTACTTTTGATTTTATTAATCTCTCCTTTGATTTTCAGAATTTCGAATTTGGTATTTAGTTGGGGATCTTTAATTTGTTCTCTTTCTAGCTTTTTTTAGTTGCATGCCCAATTTATTGATCTTTTCTTTCTCTATTTTATTCATGTAAGCATTTAGAGATTAAAAAAAAACTTCCCCTAAGAACTGCTTTTGCTGCATCCCATAAGTTTTGGTATGTTGTCTCATTATTGTCATTCTCTTGGATGAAGTTATTGTTTCTATGATTTGTTGTTTGACCCATTCATTCTTTAGGATTAGATTTAGTTCCCAAATATTTTTAGTCTATCCTTCCATGGCCCTTTGTTATATGTAATTTTTATTGCATCACAATCTGAAAAAGATGCATTTAATATTTCCGTCTTTCTGCAGAAAATCTGTGAGATTTTTATATCCTAATATGTGGTCAGTTTTTGTGTAGGTTCCTTGTACTGCTGAGAAAAAGGTATATTCCTTTCTATTCCCATTTTCTCTAGAGGTCAATCATATCTAACTTTTCTAAAATTCTATTTATCTCCTTAACTTCTTTCTTGTTTATTTTGTGGTTAGATTTACCTAGTCCTGATAGGGGGAGGTTGAATTCCCCCACTAGTATAGATTTTGCTGTCCATTTCTTCCTGTAACTCACTTAACTTCTCCTCTAAGAATGTGGATGCCATACCACTTGGTGCATATGTTTAGTATTGATATTATTTCATTGTCTATGGTACCTTTTTAGCAAGATGTACTTTCCTTCCTTGTCTCTTTTAATTAAATTGATTTTTGCTTTGTCTGGGATCAAAATTGCCACCCCTGCTTTTTTTTTTTTACTTCAGCTGAAGCATAATATATTCTGCTCCAACCTTTTACCTTTACTCTGTGTGTGTGTGTGTGTGTGTGTGCTTCAAATGTTTCTTGTAAACAACATATTGTAGGGTTCTGGTTTTTAATCCACTTTGCTATCTACTTCTGTTTTACGGGAGAGTTTATCCCATTCACAGTTATGATTACTATGTATTTCCTTCCACCCTATTTTCCCCATTTATATTTTTCTCTCTCCTTTTACCCTGTCCTTCTTCACCAGTGTTTCGCATCTGACCACTGCCTCCCTCAATCTGCCCTCCCTTCTATCAGCCCTCCCCTTTTCTTTTCCCCTTCCCCTCCTACTTCCCTATACAGTAAGATAGATTTCTTTACCCAACTTAATGTGTGTTATTCCCTCTTTGAGACAAATCCAATGAGCATATGGTTCAAACAATGCTCACACCCTCCCTTCTTTCATGACTCATGTGATATAATTTACCCCACTCTGCCTTCCACTTTCCTCTTCTTCCAGTACAATTCTTTTTTTTAACTCCTTAATTTTTTTTTATCATCACATCAAAGTCGACTCATACCCACAGCCCTCTAAATATCCTCCTTCTAACTGCCCTAGTAGAGATGTAAACAGTTTAACCATATTGAATACCATGTTTGTTTTTTTCTTTCCTATTTGCCTTTTTATGCTTGAGTCTTATATTTGAAGACGGAATTTTCTATTCAGCGCTGGTCTTTTCATCAGAAAAGTTTGAAAGTCCCAAATTTCATTGAATGGCCATCTTTTCTCCTGAAAGATTTTGCTCAGTTTTGCTGGGTAGTTGTTTCTTGGTTGTAATTCAAGGTCCTTTGCCTTCCAGAATATCATATTGCAAGCCCTCTAATCCTTTAATAGAGAAGCTACTAAATCCTGTGTAATCCTGACTTTGGCTCCTTGACATCAGAATTTTTCTGTCTGCTTGCAGGATTTTCTCCTTAAGCTGATAGTTCTGGAATTTGCTATAATATTCCTTGAAGTTTTCATTATAGATCTCTTTCAGGAGGTAATTGTTGGATTCTTTCAATGACTATTTTACCCTCTGGTTTTAGGATATCAGAGCAGCCTTGGTAACTTCTTCAAGATGCTGTCCAGGCTTTTTTTTTTTTTAATCATGGCTTTCAGGTAGTCCAGAAATTCTTAAATTATCTCTCCTGGATCTATTTCTCAGGTCAGCTGTTTTTCCAGCAAAGTATTTTACATTTTCTTCTACTTTTTCATTCTTTTCATTTTAACTAATTCTTGATGTCATAAAGTCATTAGCGTCCACTTGCCCAGTTCTAAATTTTAACGCATTATTTTCCTCAGTTAGCTTTTGTGCCTCTTTTTCCATTTAGCCAGTTCTACTTTTAAAGGAGTTGTTTTCTTCAGTGGATTTGTTTTTTCTATTTGGCCTGTTCTATTTTTTAAGGAGTTGTTTTCTTCAGTCAATTTTTGTGCTTCCTTTTTCAAGCTATTGACTCTTTTTTTTTCACAATTCTCTTGCATCACTCTTACTTCTTTTCCCAATTTTTCTTCTACCTCTCCTACTTGATTTTTTAAATCCTTCTTAAGCTCCCCCAAGAGGACTTCTTGGGCTTGAGACCAATTAATATTCCCCTTTGAGGTTTTGCATGTAGGCATTTTGACATTGTTGTCCTTTTCTGAGTTTGTGTTTTGATCTTCCCTGTCGCCATAGTAGTTTTCTATGGTCAGGGCTCTTTTTTGTTTTTTTGCTCATTTTTAAAAGTTGAGCTCTGCTCCTGGGTTATAGAGGGCACTGTTCCAAGCTTTTTACATTGGGGGCCAGGGTTCTGGGCCCTGGCTTTCTGTGCCGGGACCTCTGAGGTTGGCAGCTTGTCCACTGTACTAGAGAGGCCCAAAAATTCATGTCTGCTGTGCCCTGTGTTCTGGGGCTGGTAGTTTGCCTGCTGCTTTGGGGCTCGGGGCGTCATAGCTGGCCTGCTGTGTCAGCACCGTGGGGCTTTGGTTGCTGATCTGTGCTGTGGCTAAGAGCTTTCTAGACACTGCCTACGCTGGGCTCCACTCCCTTTTACCCGAGTGAGACAGACATTTTTTGAAGTCCTTCTAAGTTATCTTGGCCTGGAAAATTGTTTCACTCTGCTTTTTTTGTGGATTCTGTTGCTCCAGAATTCTTTTAGAGGCTTGATTTAAAGTTGTTTCTGAGAGAAACTGGAGAGAGCTCAGGCAGCTTCCTGGCTTCTCTCTGCCATCTTGGCTCCTCTCTTGTCTTAAAGCAATTTGAGAGCAGACATTATCTTACTTTTCATGTATATCCCCAGCACCAAGCAAAGTGCCTGGTACATAGTAGGCAAGTAATAAATAGTTTGTTGGCTTGGGTTTGGTTTTTTTTTGCATTTAGTTAATTCACTGAAATATAAGAAGGGAACAGCAAGTGGGAACACAGTCCATCTATCAAGAGTACTGATTCCTCACACTCAGGAGGGGATCCAGAAAAGTCTGACTTTTGTGCCAGGACAATAGAAGAATCAAATGAGGAAGAAACTAAGGAAAAAAGGCAGGTTTGTTCTCATCTAAGAGTGGGTTTTCAGACACACACTAATACACTGGATGGCAGAATCAGGACTAGAAAAGGAAGATCAAGACAGAGTATCAAGCTGGACTAAGTTGATAGGGATAAATGTAAAGTCTTACATTTAACCTAAAAAATTTTGATTTCTCAAGGACAAGCTGAAGATGCTGACAAGCTGACTAGCCAATAGCTTGTCTGAAAAAGCTGGAGAATGTAGTTGTCTGAAAGTTCAACAGGAATCAATACTGTGATATGGCAGCCAAAAACACATATACAATGCTCCACCGCATTGACAGGCAGTGTACTTCTGAAATAAGGAGGTGAGATGATTGCTATCTCCTCTGTCCCTGTCACACAAAAACTAGAACATCTGTAAGGGCAGGCATGTTCTCACTGTAAGAGTGATCATAAGCATCTAGAAGCTGGAGAGTATAGGTCCCACTGTAATGCAGTAGAGAAAGTGCTGATCTTAGAATTATAGGACCTCGGTTTGAATCTTGGCTTTGCTACCTACTACCTGTGTAAATTTAACACCTCTCTCTGGGCCTCAGTTTCTTCATTTGTGAAATAAGGCAGTGGGGACCTCTAAAATCCCTTTCAGCACTAATTTATAATCCTTTGATACAGAGGAAAAATTAAGAGTGGTGAAAGCCTTAAATTCACTGAGGGATGGTTGAAGGAAGGAGAGAAATTTAGCCTAAATCAGATTTAAGCAGTACTTGATTAGATGCTGATTTTTAGAAAGGACATTACTAGAAACAGGAATTAGTTTTATTCTGCTGGGCTCCAGAGGCCAGAATAAGAATATTGGGTGTAAATTACCAATTACCACAATCTAAGTATTGATGACATCATCAAAAGTTCTTAACAGCGCCTTAAAACTAAGGCAGGAAAGGGTTCTCCTTCACCAAAGCTCTCCAAGTAAACGCTGAATGATACCTTGAGTGCTTTGTAAAAAAATTTTCTTAACTTTTTCTGTGTCATTCACTCCGTTGATCTGGTAACGTCTATGGACCCTTTCAAAAAATGTTTTAAAATATATAAATAAATATGTAAAATATATATAAAATCTATAAAAATACGAAGGAAACATTACATTCTAAAAGCTTATCAGAATTTTTTAAAGAAAAGTTTACGGACTTTAAGTCCGAAGTCCCTTTCGAGTCTCACATTGGATTTTATGGCTCAGGTTCCCGCCTTTGCTTTCTCTGAGTCAGATGTGAGGTGTCACTCAATAAAAGTACAGGTACTGTGGGCTCACCTCACAGTAACTGAGCCACCGCCTACCCAGGTCTACAAGTACAAAGTTTAAACTCCAACCTTCTCCCTCCCAAGAAACATCTTGCCAGCTGAGATTCACCGCTTTTTAAACCCGGATCTTACGCAGACTACAAGTCCCAGCATGCTGCGCTCCTTAGACGGGCAATGAGGAGGGATGATTGAAGTAGAGAATGCTACACGCCCGCAACCAAGCATGATGGGATTTGTAGTTTGGAAGAGGATTTTAATGCCGCAGATTTCCCATGAGTAAAGACAACTCGCCGCTTCTGCATCCGGTTTTCGGGAAGACCAATTAGGAAAGCGATCAGATCTGTGACGTCTAACGCCTGCGACGCCCGAGGTTCTCTAGCGTACTTTCCACTTCTCTTTCGCTCTCTTTCGGGCTTCCGGGAGCTAGCTCTACCCGGGAAACGCCACAGGTGTGACGGCCGCCGCCTGGACTAGCGAGCAGCGCAGGGCGCGCCCTCGGCACCATGACGGACCGCTACACCATCCACAGCCAGCTGGAGCATCTGCAGTCCAAATACATCGGCACGGGCCACGCCGACACCACCAAGTGGGAATGGCTGGTGAACCAGCACCGCGACTCGTACTGCTCCTACATGGGCCACTTCGACCTCCTCAACTACTTCGCCATCGCCGAGAACGAGAGCAAGGCGCGCGTGCGCTTCAACCTGATGGAGAAGATGCTGCAGCCCTGCGGGCCCCCGGCCGACAAGCCCGAGGAGAACTGAGCCCCGGGGCCTGCCCGTCCCCGGCGCCCTCCGGCCATGCCCCCCGACGCAGACGTGCGCTCTGATTTCCCGCTCCTAGGGCCCTTCCCGGCCTGCGCCGGTCTCTGACCTCCGAGGAAGGTCAGCGTCATCCTACTGCTGCCGCGGTGCCTCTGCTGGGCCGGTCCTTCCCTTAAGAAGGGCCCACTGACTGTGAATTTGGGATGTCCTCAGCGACGGCGAATGCCCAGGCAGCGACTCTGGAGAGGGACATTAACTTGGAAACTTGTGTTTGGGTTTTGGTGTTTGTTTTTCACTTCCTCCCCATAAAGTTAAAATCTTCTGAGCAAACCCAAGGTGTAAGAGAGTGTGTGTTTGGTGGGAATGAGGGAGACTATGGGAAATGGGTGACTCACATAGTGGTTTGCACTTCCCCAAAGCAGAAGTTACTGGGATTTAAACTTGAAAAGGCTTCTTAGAGGTCATCTAGTCCCACTCCCACATTTACATATGAGAACACTGAGACCATAATTTGAACCCAAGTCTTATTACTTTAAATCCCATGCCTTTTTACCACTACATGGTCCTGCTTCCTCTGGAGGCCAGTAAGACAGGAGGGCCTCTTAAGGAGGTTGTCCTGTGTCATTACAACGTTTTACCTTTCCATTTCCTTTATTTTATCTTCTAGCTTGGGAGTGTGACTGTTGTTGGCATTGAATTCTGCCTCCAGTGTTGTCCAAACAACAGTATGAAGTCATTGGTTGCTACAGAACACCTTTCTCTGTCACATATTTCTTCAGCTGCTCCTCTTCTCTTTCTGAGGCATTTCCTCTGGTCATCTGCTTTCCTTGAAATGTTGGCTTTCTGTCTACAAGAGAGCTGATGTATATCTTGACAAATTAGATGACACAAATGAACATAAACAGCGAAGTGATCACAAGTCCCACATTTCCGCTTTATCTTAAAGGGAATTTGTTTACAAATCATTGACAGCAAATTTCTGCTGTTCTATATATGGCACCCAGAGGGAATTTAAAGAGGTAAAAGCTGTTGGCTCTGACCTCAAGGGGCATAGTTAAGAGTGAAAATGTATACATAAAAAGGTAATACAAAATAACATGCTTAATTCGAAATTAGTGGTGCAGATATACTTTGGAGGTAGGAGGAAAGATTGCAAATCAAGGAAGGTGAGTGGCTGAGCAAGGCCTTGGGAAGTTCACACCTTTATCTTTAGTTGTCTTTAGTTTCACAAAGGTTGTAAGAAGAGGGAAGGTTCTGGGGCCAAGGAATTTGAAAATACCTAGTTCCTGGATGTTATGGGGGTCAGGAAGGTTCCTGGACATAGGGTCTTCAAGCGCAGTTGGGATAAAAGTGATGAATTGGAACTAATGGAGGAAATATGCTGCATGTTTCATTTCAGTTTTACATTTACTTTTAATATTGGATTAAAAGACAGTTGAAGGGAGGGGAAAAGTTGCCCTTTAAAAATTCATATCAAATATGTGAAAATGAATATTAAAATATAAGTAGATCCTTTGAGTCAGTAATTTTTTGACTGGTGTAGGTTAGCATTATTCTCTTCAAACAGGAGGTCAGCAAATGACGCTAGAGTAGAAATACTCCATTAACATTTTAAATATAGATTGTTGCCAACTTGGGAGAAATGACTGTCTGGATTTTTATACCATTCTTATGCAACACTTGTATAAAACTCTTAATTTCTTCTGTTAAATTTTATGGTTGCTTTTTATAAACTTGTTTCCCAGTAATTCCCCACCACCAGTGCCACAAGCATTGAATCTTCATCAAACAAAAAAAATGACATATTGACCATGATCATATCAGAGTTTTGATATCTCATGTTAAATTATTTAACATTTTTCATGTATTTGTCATGATTATACATATAGGAACTTACACACGTGTGTGTGTGTGTTTCTCTTGGTCTTGTTTACTTCATCTTGAGTCAGTTCATATCAGTCTTCCCAATTAACTAAATTTTATTCACTGTTTCATATTGCACAATAATATTCCATTACTCCCATATAATACAATTTATTCAGCCACTTTCCCATGAACAGGTACTCACTTTGTTTCTGTTTTTTTGCCAACACATAAAGTGCTGCTAGAAATGTTTTTGGCATGTGTCAGATCTTTTATACATACATGTATATATATATATATACACACACACACACACACACACATATATACATATATATGGACCTTATGTAGATATAGATATGTATACACACACACATATTTATATATCTAGGATGAGAAGCAGTCTGGCTTGTGGAGGAAGAGCTGGCATCAGGACAGTTGCCTTCAAGTCCAGTCTTTAACACACACTTGTTAGATGACTGGTGGGTGAGTCACTTAACTTCCCAGGGTTTTAAGCAAATTTCTAAGACTTAAGCTGCAGAAAAGGTGATCACTTACATTGGTAGATAATCATCAAGAGATTTCTATGTCAATTAAATCCCAGGTCCAGTTCCTGTAAGTCCATAAATAACATGAGGTCAAAGGTGAATAATCTAGTCGCTTTTCTAGCATAGTTCCAAATTGTTTTCTAGAACAGTTAGAGCAGTTCACAGCTCCACCAACATTAGCGTGTTATTAGTGTTAGTATGTTAGTATTAGTGTGTCTGTCTTTCAATAGCCCCTCCAACATTAGCTAGTTCTGGCTTTTTATATCTTTGATGATTTGATGAATGTAAAGTGAAACCTCAGAATTGTTTCAATTTACAATTGTTATTGGAGATTTAAGCATTTTCTTAATATGGCTGTTTATCATTTATATTTCTTCTAAAAACTTTATCCAGATTATCCTAGATCTCTCCTAGATAAACTCCAAGAAAAAACTGTCCAATTTTGCTTTGCTTTTTCCTTTCCTCTCACTCACTTTACAATTTAGTTTCTAATCTCATCATTCAATTAAAGTTGCATTGTCTAATCTTACTAAGGGTTAGAGTTAGGGTTAGAAATGGAGTTAGGGTTAGAAACAGAGATGTATGTGTGTGTGTATGTGTTTCTATATACATATATATGTATATGTATTTATATATCCATCCCTAGTCTCTGACTCAAGGTCCAGTCCCAAATCACCAGTTGGCTGTTGGGCCTTTTGAGCTGGTGGAACTTAGTTAAGCAACTTAAACTCAACATGTCCAAAAGAGAACTCATTATCTTTTCTCCCAAACCCACTCATCTTCCTAACTTCTGTATTTCTGTAAAGGGTGTCATTATCCTTCTAGTAAACCAGCCTATGCTTGAAGCTGTTCAGAGATTAAGAACTCAATGCCTTGTGAGGCATTCCATTCCACTTTTGAAGAGCTTGAATTGTTAGGATTTTTTTCCTAACACCAAGCCTCATTTGTCTCTAACTTTTATCCAATGCTCCTGGTTTTGCTCTCTGGAGCCAAGCAGAATATGACATATGATAGCCCCTCACAGAGTTGAAGATAACTACCATTAATATTCTCCCTGAATTTTCTCTTCTCTGTGTTAAACAATCCCAGCTCCTTCAATTGAACCTTATAGGCAGAAATTTGGTGGTAAATGTTTTAAAAACTATCTCTCAAGAAAATAAATGTGTGTATAATGCACCTTAAAATTTATTTGCATTATTAATATTTTCTCTATCACTTTCTTAAGCTTAGACAATTAACAAAAGAATAACTCAAACCCTGAGTTATAGCATTTGCCACTTTTCAAGGTATAAATCCTCTTGCTGAAATTTTAACAACTGGATCTCTTGAGATGGTATGAACCACCCCCAGATCTCATTAGCTTTCTTATTGCCTCATCAAACTGCTAATTTATATTGAGCTTATAGTCCACTAAAACCTCCAGCTCTTTTTCAGAAAAACATCTACCTAACTTTACCTCCCCCATCCCATACTTGTGAAGTTGATTTTTTGTATCCACATATAAAACTTTACATTTATCCCTACTGAATTTCATCTTATTAGTTTTAGCCCAATGATATAGACAAGTGATATCTAACTCAAATAGAAACAGATCCCTACAGGAAGCATCTTGACTTAAAAAGTCATAAATGTGGCCCATGGACCATGAGTATGACACCTGTGATCTAGACTGTCAAGGTTTTTAGAGTCATGACCCTATCATTCAGTGTGTTAGTTATCCCAACTTTATGTCATCTGAAAAGCTAATGAGCGTACATGCCATTTAAGCCTTTATTCACATCGTTGATAAAATTGCTAAACGGCACAAGGCCAATCAAAGATCCCTTGGGTACTCCACTGGAGACCCCCTGCCATAGTGACATTGAATATCTGTTCTTTGAGTATGTCCAATCAATTTTAAATCCATCTAATTGTATTATTTTTTAACCTACATCTCATTTTCTCCACAAGAATAAGATGAGATGTTACCCTAGTGGTTAATGTTATATATTGGAACTAAATGAGAGTCTTGTAGGTCATTCAATCATTAACAAAAGATTTACTTAACCGTTAAGCAGAAGAAGTATATTCAAGGATTTGAGAACATCTTAAGTTGATTTAGTTAAGCCAAATTCCTTCTGCTTTGTTCTCCGTCATGTTTCCATCTTCTGTACATTTCTTTTAAATCTGAGTTGATTAGTGAGTTCCCTGTGCATTCATATTAGTGCCTTCAGACAAATCCCATTGCCCTCCTCATTCGAATTTATTGGTTCCCTTTTTGTTTTCAAAATGTTGTCCTTGAGCATTACTCTCTTCTTGTTCTGCCTGTTCTGAAGTTTTTTACTCCATTCAGTCCTACCTATATTTCTTCTGAACTCTTTGAAATCTGCTTTCCCAAAATTGAGGGTGCATATCAAGCTATGCTTGAATTTTCTCTCTATCACAAACTCTAGAAGAGAGTCGTCACATACTCCCAGTATTGCCATTACTTCCACCTCAGTAACCAGTTTCTTCCCTGTTAGTGAGAATCATATCCAGCATAGAATTTCCCCTTGTAGATTTCTCTACCTTTTGAAGAATGAAATTATAACTGAGGCAAATAAAATTATTTGCTACTCTTCTTTTGGCAAGAGAGAGCTCCAGTAGATGTTTGAATAAATGAAGTCACCCATCTGTTTCCCTTCTCTCCACTCACATGGCCCATTACCTTAGTTAAAACCTTCATAATCTCTCACCTGGGACAACTTCAGTAGTTTCATAATTGGTCTCCCTACATCCATTTGTCTTAGAGAATAGCTCTTGGTTTTATGCTTAAGTATAAATTCTCTATGTATATTGCATATCAGATGCTTATCAGAAATAATGTGAAGATTAATTAGGCCATCCATTATTCTAGTTGGGCAGCTAGGTGGCGCAGTGGATTGAGTGCTGGGCCTGGAG